CCTGGCAGGAGCAGCAAAAAGACAAGAATGCCTGATAATAGGAAGAAAAGTAATAGAAGCCATGGCATTGTTGTCTGTGCTGAATAGAGCTGGCAATAAAGATCAAAATGAAAATAGAAGCTCTAGTGACCAAAGTCTTAATGAGATGCAAGACCAGATGTAGTGAACAGTATTGAGAGCTGGTAGGAATAAGCAGTTGGTGCTTACAATTTCTAAGATGGGGCAGTTTTAGAATGACAGGATTCAGCCTGTGTATTGTGGTTAGATGACTTAAATAGATTGCCCTTAAATACTACATTTATTTGATACTCTCATTCTAAGAGTGTATTTCTTCACATTTGGTGCTAACACCAAGAATTATTTAAGGCTGTCTTTTCCAGTGTTACGGTGCATAATCATGTCTGACTAAAAACTGTGTTTTTGATTGCTAATAAGGTTGAACGTTTTATTGACCGTACCTGTGGATTGCTGCCCTGTTATTTGTTCCATTTTTCTGTTGGCACAGAACTATTTTCTACCATTTCTCTTATTTGCATTTTTCCTTTTTTTTTTTTTGGTCTTATTTCTATTTGAATTCCGTGCTTGGTTTACTAATTTTCTTTTTTTAATATGTTTTATTTTATTAAAGATTTTATTTATTCATAGAGACACAGAGAGAGAGAGAGAGAGAGAGAGAGAGAGAGAGAGGCAGAGACACAGGCAGAAGAGAAGCAGGCACCATGTAGAGAGCCTGACGTGGGACTCGATCCAGGGTCTCCAGGATCACGCCCTGGGCTGCAGGCGGCGCTAAACTGCTGCACCACCGGGGCTGCCCTTTGTTTAATTTTCATTCTTTGTTTAATAATCACTTTTTTTAAAGAGAGAGTACTGCACAATGGGGGTGGCGGGACAGAGAAAGAAGGAGAGAGAAAATTCCAGGCAGGCTCCATGCCCAGCATGCCCAACATGGGACTTGATCTCACGGCCTCAAGATCATTCATGACCTGAGCTGAAATCAAGAGTCAGATGCTTAACTGACTGAGCCACCCAGGTGCTCCAATAATAAACACTTTTAGTATTAGTCTGTGATTACCTTTTTTGGCCAAATCATATAGGTATGGACGTCTGTAGAGATCTCATTGTTATGTTCCTAATATTCTTTAATCACCAGTTTGGTTTCTTAGGAGCAAAATGGTTGGAGGTGTTTTTTGTTCTGCTTTTTATAACTTCTAAGCTTTTTTTGTCCCCTCCTCCCTCTTTGATAGAACTAGAGAGTGGGTCCATTATTTGTTTAGGCTTATATGAAAATATAGGTCTTTGTGGCCTACATTTTTAAACTATATATTCTATCGGTGCTAGAAAAAAGATACAATTTTTATCAGAAACTGTATATACATATCAGTTAAGTCTGTCTTATTTGCCCACATATCCTGACCTGTCCAGAATGAGATTTGTTTCTTTTATTTCTTTCGTTTATTGCTTCATATATTTCTTTTTTTCACATATTTCTATGCTCTATTAATTTATTCAAGTATTAATTGAACAACTGCTGTGTTGTATACCATTATGTACTTTTTTGAGAACTAAATTCACTCATGGTAACACATGTGGTCTGTAATTCATTTGTGAATTCAAAAAAAAAAAAAAAAAAGCCACCAGAGCTACAAATATTGCATCTTCTCTCCCTCTCTGAAGAAAGAAGTATGTGGAAGGAAATTTATTATTCACCGCAGAGTTCTCTAACTGAGCTTTGCCATCACTCAGTTGACTTTTGGGCAAGTCATTTAGTATGGAAGATTGCAGGTCTCAAAATTTTTTATTTCAAGACCCTATACACTTAGAATTTATTGAGGACTCCAAAATAGCTTTTGTCTATGTGCTTGTGTTTACTGTATTAGAAATTAAACTGAGAAATGTTTTAAATGATCTTTTACAGATAATAAACCCAATAAATGTTATAATTATTTATGTAAAAAATTATTTTCCAAAACAAAAAGCAGTAAGAAGGCATTGTTTTATTGTTTTGCAAAACTTTTTTAAGTAGGCTCCATGCTCAGTGTGGGGCTCAAACTCCCCACCCTGAGGGGAGCCCTGGTGGTGCAGCAGTTTTAGCGCTGCCTGCAGCCCAGGGTGTGATCTGGAGACCCAAGATCTAGTCCCACATCGGGCTCCTTGCGTGGAGCCTGCTTCTCCCTCTGCCTGTGTCTCTGCCTCTCTCTCTCTCTCTCTCTCTCTCTCTCTCTCTGTGTCTCTCATGAATAAATAAATTAAATCTTTTAAAAAAATTATAAAAAGAAAAAAAAAAACAAACTCCCCACCCTGAGATCAAGAGTCCCATGCTCTACTGACTGAACCTGCTAGGCACCCCAGCAAAACTCTTTAATGTTTGGCTTAACAGAAGCTCTATTCTCATCTACTTCTGTATTCAGTCTTTTGGTATCACATGCTTTGTAGTCTTTGGAAAACTCAGGTATATATTTGTGAGAAAATTAGGATGGAAAACAGGCAAATAATGTCTTTTGACCTTGCAGACCACCCACTAGGGTCTTATGAGCCTTTACGGCCTCCCAACCCCACCTTAGAGAATCACTGCTCCAGGCTTTAGCATCCATAGCAGTGCAGGGAATAGTCTTTATTGTTCTGTTTTGTTTTGTTTTAAGATTTTATTCGTGAGAAACACAGAAAGAGAGGCAGAGACAGGCAGAGGGAGAAGCAGGCTGCCTGGAGGGAGCCCAATGCAGGACTCAATCCCAGGGATCACGCCCTGAGCCACCCAGGCATCCCAACTAAATAGTCTTTAAGTTATTTTGTCTTAGAAATTTGGATAGTATCTTTTATTTCCTGATTTTATCATGAACTGCTAGTTGAATGTATAAGTACAATCAGAACCGTCAACATAAATATAATTTAAAGCAAGGGTCAGCTGTAGCGTTACGGAAGTTGTGAAGTCCTTGTACTTCTTTATTCTGAAACACACATAGCAGACAGTTTATCATCTGATAAAGAGCAGTGTATGAAATTGAATAAGGCCGGGGATCCCTGGGTAGCGCAGCGGTTTAGCGCCTGCCTTTGGCCCAGGGCACGATCCTGGAGACCCGGGATCGAATCCCACGTCGGGCTCCCGGTGCATGGAGCCTGCTTCTCCCTCTGCCTGTGTCTCTGCCCCTCTCTCTCTCTCTCTCTGTGTGTGTGTGTGTGTGTGTGTGTGACTATCATAAATAAATAAAAATTAAAAAAATTAAAAAAAAGAGAAATTGAATAAGGCCATGGAATTTATAGCCTGAGTTTACTGATGTTGAGATCAGATTCTGAGTGCTTTCTTTTTAAAAGTTGTTACTTGTATTAATTTAACTTTTGAAATTCAGAACAATAGAAAATAGTGGACTTTGATACTTGTGATGTATTTCTACTTTGGGGAACATCAGAAATAGTGGTGATGCTGTTGACTCATTACAGGAAGATCAGTGCAACGAAGGGTAATTTATATGGTGTGTGCAAAATATTCTGCTTTAAAGCTTGAAATCAGAAAGCTGTTTTGGGTTTCAGCTACTACTTAGTAGCACTGTGACCTGGAGAGGAGATGTAAACCTCTCTTTTCCTCATCTGTAAAATTGAGTGGATAACCCCATTTTTCCCAGAGTTTTGAAGATTATGTGAAATTGTGTATGTTAATGTACTTAAAGCTGTATAAGCATTACTGTCTTTTTTTTCTTTTGGAAGATGCATTGTTGCTTTTTAATTGTACAAAGGAACCTTCTCTTTATATCTTATCAGTTTTCATCTAAAGCTCAGTACTATCAACTTAGACAATTTTCAGAAGAATTCTGGGAGATTGAAGGAAATGGAATTTTCCTCTTTGATTCCTGTGTCTTTAAAGTAATGAAACTAGTACTCTCTCTTTGTATCCCTATCAGGCAGTCTTTCACCTAAAGCTCAGAACTATCAACTTAGACAATTTTTAGAAGTATTCTGGGAAATAGAAGGAATAGAATTTTCCCTCTTGATTCTTGTTCCTTTCAAGTAATGAAACTAGTTCCATTATTTCTTCTTGCCTCTTTTACTCCTCAGCCACTCTGATCAGTTAGTTTCAGAAATTGATTGTACTCATTTTCAAAATACCTTATAATGAGCCTATTGTTACATAATTTTAGGAATCTGAGACCATCAAGATCATCTGTTCCTATTCCTCTTACTTTGTAGATGAGACGGATACTGAGAGAGAAACCAAGCTACTTGTTTAAGATCATTTAAGTGATACAGTGGTCCTCCGCCAAGGCTGAACTTTGGAACCACCTGTAAAGCTCTTTAAAAAAAAAAAAAAAAGATGTTCAGGCACCATCTCCAGAAATTAGGTTTTAATTGATCTTTATGAAGCCCCCGTGGATGTAATGTGATGTAATGAAGCCCCCCGTGTGATTGTAATGAAACATATTTGACTTTTAAAATGAATTATTTGCCATTTAACACTCATATTTAACTTCTATTATTATTGTAGATGTGACTCTTTTGTGTCTTCAATGTTTTTAGAGAGCCTTTCTTTACTTTTTTGCTCTGTGGGAAATAAACCCATAAACTTTATAATGAGAATCAAAACTTTGATGTTGAAACCTTTATCTTGAATGGATTTATCAAATCAATGGTAAAGTTTTTTCTTCTAATCATTTTTTATAAGTTTATTTTTTATTGGTGTTCGATTTGCCAACATATAGAATAACACCCAGTGTTCATCCCATCAAGTGCCCCCCTCAGTGCCCGTCACCCAGTCACCCCCAACCCCCGCCCACCTCCCCTTCCTCTTCTAATCTTTATATGTGTAGCGGCTGGTGGTAAAACAAAGCTTATACCTATTATACCTAATGCATTAAGAATGAGTCTTTTTTAGTATAATATTGTGAATACATGATAAGCTTTGGAATTATTAATAATACGTATAAGATTTTACTTTGCATTATTTAGTCAAATTCTAGGTAGTCATTTGTTTTAGACTTTTTAGGGAAAAAAAAATCTTTATTTTTCCATAGGTGAAGGCACTGAAAGAGAAGATTGAATCTGAAAAGGGGAAAGATGCCTTTCCTGTAGCAGGTCAAAAATTAATTTATGCAGGTATGAATTAAGTATTGAAAGTAATGTGCTATCTTCTTGCTTACAGTGACATTCTTTAGTTTTAGAAATTGTCATCTTACAAATTGTGTAAACAACTTGACTGTCATAAACATATATGGTGTTTGTGTTAGATATCTTTTAGTCAAAATGTTACTTTTTTACCCGATTATATTTCCATTCATATTTATCTTGGCTGATTAGTTACTGTTTTTCTTTAGGGAAAGTATTAATTGATAGAATTGACATTGGGGATTGTTTTAACTTTAATATGTGTAAGACAAAGGTTATGGGGCTTCAAATAATGTCTTCTCTTTTTCTTAATGTACTAGGCAAAATCCTTAATGATGATACTGCTCTAAAAGAATATAAAATTGACGAAAAAAACTTTGTGGTGGTTATGGTGACAAAAGTAAGTTTCAGCCTTGTACTGTTTATATGCATGTGAGGTTTTTTTTTTTTTTAAATATAATGATCCCGAGTCCAGCCTTTATGAATACAGTTTATGCATATCCATTTGGCAGGCACTTAACTGTTAAAGATTTTAATAGTCTATTTTGAGTCAGCCATAAAGTTAATTATTTTATACGTTTATAGCTTAAACATAATTTAAAATAAAACAGTTGATAAAATGTGTAAAATTTGTTTTGCCGAAGTCGTAAAATCGGTAATTATGTAATTATTTAAAAATGTGGTTCTTAGAAATTGAATAAATATTTCTTATTTTATTTATTAATGGTGCCTTAAAGGGACTTGCAGTATTATGTGCTATATCTAACCAACTCCTCAGGCAGACAAAGCATATAAACTCCTAAATTCAGTGATACTTTCTAGTTGATAGGGTAGATATTTAGATGCTAAGAAAGGAAAAGGCAGCTGAAGAAATGACAGAATGATTGCTGTGAGGAAGGTTTTGGTTTTGGGAGAGGTTAGGGGAAGAGAGAAGCAGGAGGGAGAGAATCTTAAGCAGTCTCCATGCCCAGGACAGAGCTGGACTCAGGGCTCAGTCTGAGGACCTTGAGATCATGACAAATTGAGTTGGATGCTTAACCACCTGAGCCACCCAGGTGCCCCTTGAGGAAGTTCTTTTTTTGAGGGAATTTTTTTTTATCACTTACTGGACTGAAATATTTTGGGGACAGTTTCTAAAAGTCAGTTTTTCTTCAAAGCAAAGGATGAATTTGAGTTCTTTCAGAGATTCTGTTGTATTTTTAAAGATACATAAGCATGCAGTAGAGAGTTAAAATAGGTACCTGTGACATTAATTTTTAGGATTGAATTGTCATAATCTGAGAACAGTGATTCTTATAACATTGAAGATAAGTTTAAATGACTAATTGGAAACCATTTATCAAAGACAGAATAAATGTGAGGATTCTTTTTTTTTAAGTTTAAGGTAATATATGCAGTAGAAAATAGTAAATTTAATCAAATGTGTATTTTTGTCCTTAAAAAAGCAACTGAACAATTTACATGTGTTGGATTTAGAAGTTTTTAATCCATTAAGAACCATAGTGGTTTTGTTTTAATGGCACTTACTCATTAAATGTTAAACTTTGCATATAGAAGAAAAGAATCATGTGAGGAAACTTTGTCTCAATCTAGTATTTTAAATTGTGATAAAATACATGTAACACAAAATTTACCAGTTTGACCATTTTTAATTGTACAGTTCAGTGGCATTAAGTACATTCACATTGTGCAACCATCCATCTCCGGAACTCTGTACCCACTAAATAGTAACTCCCATTTCCCTGCTCCCAGCCCCAGTAACCACCATCCTACTTTCTATTAGTTTAACTACTTCATACCCTGTATAAGTGGAATCATACAGTGTTTCCCTTGTGTGACTGGCTTATTTCCCTTAGTATACTGTCTTCCAGGTTCATCCATGTTGGCTACATGCCAGAATTTGTGTCCTTTTACAGCTGAATAGTATTCCATTGTCTCATCTAGTTTTATCATCCATAGTACATAATGGAAAATGTGGTAGCCACATATTTGGATATGTATGTTGGTCTTATTTTCTTTAGTATTATAATAACCTTGATTATTTAAAACACAATAATTAAGCAGGATAGGCCTCAGATCCATGCATTTGAGGTATAGCTACTTAGAGCTGAGCCTTTTCATATTTTATATAGAATTCTAATGCTATTTACCATTACTTTATTTTCAAATTAATAATGGCCAGTTATTAGAAGAGGGAAGAGTTAGGCATTATGGAAGCAATGAGAAATGACCTCGTTGTAAAGAAGGGACAGGAAAAAGCTATTTAGATCAAAAGTAAGCAGAAAAACTTCAAAAAGCAGATAGGATTGGTACCATTTAGAATGAGGCTTAAATAACACTGTAGAGCAGAGACTTTGAGGGCATGGAATGTGACCGTGTTATATTGATCACAAGTAATCTTCAGGGAAATAGTAAATGAGCATAGTAATGCATTTAAATTTCACTTCATCTAGATGGGAGTTTTAGAACATTAATAATTTGCAGAGTATTGTATTGGCAGTTTAAAAAAAGCTACAGGGCTAAACATAAGACTGAGAATAAGGAAAGGCGGAAGTGAACACTGCTAGTATTTTTCTTTAAGTCCCCTGCCCTACCTTGCACAGCCAGTCTTTCTCCAGTGCAGTCTGTACTAGCATAGGTCGAACAAGAAAGTTACTTTGGTGATGCTTTTGAATAACAATAAATACTTGAAAGTTATAACCAAGGCTCTTAAAGTGTAATGGGGAGGGCAGTAATTATATAGTTTTTATTTCCAGTACACAGTCTGTATATTTCTTAATAGTGACTGCTTATGGTTCTTTTTCATATTAACTTAATAACAAAGATTGAAACTATTAGCCAAAGCTAATTAAGAACGATAGTTAATACATATGCTGTCTTTGGCTTTGAAAGAGTGACATAAATAGTGATTCATATAGTTAATGTTGGTCATTTATTGTTTCTTAACAAAATTATTTTCAAGTTACAAGTTTATATTATTTATTAGTGTTATGTTTGTGGCCTCCTATAATGATACAATCTACTTAGAGATCAGGTAAATACAGTATTTTATCATAATTCATTGTTTTACTTTTTTAATATGTTTAGCCCAAAGCAGTGACAACACCGGCACCAGCTACAACCCAGCAGTCGAATCCTGCCACCACTACTACAGTTAGCTCCTCTACGGCTCCGACTGTGGTTCAGGCCCCAGCCCCTCCCGTTCTGGCTCCCACTCCTTCTCCTGCATCTGTCACTCCAGCACCAGCGACAACATCTTCTGAACCTGCACCTACTAGTGTGACACAACAAGAGAAACCTGCGGAAAAGCCAGCAGAGACACCCGTGGCTACAAGTCCAACAGCAACTGACAGGTAAGACCTGCCATCTAGAAGATGCATCAACACAAGTTCAGGACACGAACTTCAGGCATGTATTTATCTTCATGATTATTTTGATCAAACTAACTTTGTTTCTGCTACATTAAACTTTTTCTAAACATTGAACTGTGACTAAAACAGTGTGCTTGTGCCTGCTTTAATTTCCATAATCCAGATTTTTATACTCTGCATATTTTTTCCTCCAGGGAGAAGGGAAAGCGGGTCAGAGTCTCTGTTCATTTTGTGTAGAAAAAATAAGAAATACAAATGACCTAAAAGAATTATAAAAATAACTTGATATTTTATTATACTTGGACATATTATAAATAACTTGACCTTCATAATCATTATTTATATTCTATCTATATTCTTTTCTGATCATTGTCATTTATACTGTAAACATCCTTCTATAGAAGCCACTAAATCTTTCCAATTGCTGCATACCATTGTGTTTGGATCTGATATTTATTTGCACTTATTTAACCTTGCTCGGTGGTTGAACGTCTACCTTTGGCTCAGGTCGTGATCCCGGTATTCCGGGATTGAGTCCTGCATCAGGCTCCCTGGAAGGAGCCTGCTTATGTCTCTGCCTCTGTGTGTGTGTTTCTCATAAATAAATAAAATGTTGAAATAAATAAATAAATAAATAAATAAATAAATAAATAGATAAAATGTTGAAAGGAAGGAAGAGAGAGAGAGAAAGAAAGAAAAGGAAGGAAGGAAGGAAGGAAGGAAGGAAGGAAGGAAGGAAGGAAGGAAGGAAGGAAGGAGGAAGAAAAGAAAGAGAAAGAAACCTTACAAAAGTGACGTCTTTGGGTATTTTCCTTATCTGTAAAATGTTTGTGACAGTAAGACCTATATCCTAGAGTTGTTATAAGGAGTAAATGAAATAATGAGTGTAAAAGATGTGAAATAGCACATGTTCACAGCAGTGAGTAACAGCTATCTTGCATAGTTAATGTGGATTGTTTGAATTCTCTGTTTTATCTATATTTTTATGAGCTTCTGTAGAAATTTTTTACCTGTGTAGGTCTTTAAAACAAAAGAAAACGTGCTGGGATATTTGGGGGAGTAAGAAATAATTTCTTATGGGATGTTGGCAGGATTGTTGAGTAGTTTATGTCAAAGGTTTTTTTCTCCCCAAGTATAAATAAATAACCACAAGTACTTTGGTTCTCTTGATTGGACTCATATAGGGAATTTCTTCTTTATCTGAGAACATGGGTTCTTTAAGTCCAGTGTACACTGGCACTGGAGCTGTTTATAGTTTGACACTTAGGTACAACATGGGACCTCAGTGGCAGTAGTTAGAGTCCTTGGAATCAGAACCAGACAGGATAGAGAGCTATACAGAAATTGGAACACTGTGATAAACACAAGGATTATAAAAATGTTTAGGTTTTTTTTTTTTTTTTTTTTTTTTTTTTAGTGTTTTGCCTTTTGTCATGTTTCTCTGTCTGACCCAGTCCATGATGTTTGAAGGGGTTTCATTCATTGCTCATTTAGGGCCTCTTTCCAGGAAGTTGATTCCTTTAAGAGGAGATTCAGGTAATAAAATACTTCCCCGAAGCCTGCTTGCTGAGCTTTGCTTCAGGCATTCTGAGACACTGTTACCTAACTTGATGCTCCTCCCATGTATATTTAGAAATGCATTCAACACTCTTTTCTAGTGGGAGACAACCCAGACTCCAGTTAAGTTGTTCTATCAGAAGGTTGTTCATCAGTTCTGTGTATGGGAGGGAACTTAAATTTTTTTAACACATTGGTTTCCCAAATCACTTAAACATTGCATGTGTAATTAAATATGTCTTCATTCAGTGCAGTATATCTTCTTTTCTTATGTGTTTTCAGCTCTTGAAAAGCTCATAGTGAGAATTTCAGAATTAATCAGTACATTTTTAATGTGCTAGTATCATCTATCCAAATTTATTATTATCTCCTTTTAAAATTTCTTCCCGGGGGTACAGTTTTATTTACCCATTCTCAAAAGTCAGTATTATGTTTTCAGACCTACAGAGGTTGCATAAATCAGTAGATGATGGTACTGACCATCCAGAGAGCAGATCCTGAGTTACTTGGTTGGGCTTTATACATCAACTGTTTACTCTTACTTCCCCAAATGATCCCCTTAGAGAAAGATAACATGGGAAAAGAAGGATGAGAGAAACTCAAAATTGGCAGTTTAAATGTGCCTTTGTCCTTTCTTCTGTGTTGTTGTAAAACATTGAGTGTCCTGTAAAGCACAAAACTTAGTGAGATTATCAAGAGACACATTGGTATTAGTTTGAAGGACATCAGAAAGTTTATTCATCACCACTGGTCTGACATTTCATTAATAGGCATTTGTGTCTTTAGGCCAGTTTTGTTCTTTGAAAACTACCTATTACAATACAAATTCTACTTACTTATTTCTACCTTAGAGAAACTGCGCATGTGCACAAAGACTGACTACATTATTTGTTGTTAAAGACAAATTGAAACCAATCTAAATACCTCATTAGTGAGAGAATGACTTGACCTGTGATTTATACGTATTAGAGAGCAGTGCTGCTCCAAGTGGAGGTAGACTGCATCAGCATCACTGGGAGCTCATTTGAAAGTAAACCTCTAACCAAAATCTGAATTACTGAGGAGTGGATCCCTGAAACCAGCTCTCCTGCTAAATCCTTGGGCTTCCTAAAGTTTGAGAAGCCCTGATATCCAGTACTATCGGCCAGCTGAAGTATGTAGTATGTATGCATAGTGAGTGAATGTGGTTTCAGGGCTTTGTAATCAAGTGAGAAAAACATGATGAAACAATATGGGCAGCAACCATAAACCAAACAAAAGCCACAAAACATTGTCATACATTTTCTGGGTATGGATAGTAATGTGTAGAAAAATAGTAGCAGAGGGACAGCACCCTGATAAGTGGTTTCCTCTGCAGGTGGGGAAGGAGAAGTGGTGAGGTAGAAACAAGATTAAAGGATTATGGTTCAGCTGCACCTCACTCTTATCTGAGATACGTAAAGAAGGAAATTTTAAAGCAGTGTGCAGAACAGCACAACTTGTTTTTGTAAGAGAACTGGAATGATGGAGACTAATCCTGCCAGGTAGTAAAATGTATTATACTGGGTAATGATTGCAATAATTTAGAATGGCTCTTACCAGAAGATTGCTCAGTTAAATAGATGGTTAGTCTAGAAACAGACCAGAATACATACCAGGGACTTAGTGTAAGATAAAGATGTAATTTCAAATCACTGTGGGGAAAATGCTGTTGGGATTAATGCCTAGCCAAATAGAAGGGGAAAAGATGGATCACATACCTTATATTATAAAATTAAATTCTAGATAGATATTTAACATAAAAGTGAAGCCATAAACTAGAGAACATGGGAAAAATAAAAATAATTTAAAAAGTCATAAAAGGAACAATTAATAAATTTGATTACAGAATTTTTTTTTAAAGATTTAATTTATTTATTCATGAGAGACAGAGAGAGAGGCAGAGACCTAGGCAGAAGGAGAAGCAGGCTCCCTGCAGGGGCTTAATCCCGGACCCCAGGATCCCCAGGATCATGCCCTGAGCTGAAGGCTCAACTGCTGAGCCACTTTAGGCATCCCTACAGAAAGAATTTGAAAGTTGTAAACCTAACTAAAATTTCCCTATGAAGAACTTGATTTGGCCAATTAAGTGGAATACTGTGTGTTTGTGAGGAAAATTTGAGGTCGTTACAGTTATGTGAGATAATTAAAAAAACACACCCAAAAGCAAGACACAAGTCATTGTTATATAGAAACTGGTAGTAGTGATTGTTCTCTAAGCAGGGGTCATGGGCAGGAGAATTAGTTTTTTTACATATAATTCTTTTCAAAATTTTGCTTTCAATATAAGTTACCTTACATAGTTAATGAAGATAACTTAAAAATTACTCCAAAAAATCAGTTTAATCATAGTGATCATATCGGATGTTTTGCTATGCACTCTGCTAAACACTTTATAGCAGTAACCCTATGTACAACACTTTGGGATAGATACATGGCTGTTCTTGTTGACTTCATTGTACTGATGAAGAAACTGAGGCTTAGAAAATAATTTATGAATTCAAATTTAGACACTTGCTTTGGTCTTGCTATGCTACAGGAGGGGTGGGGGGACAGAGGAAGAGGAGAGGGAGAATCTTAAGCAGGCTCCATGCTCAGCTTGGAGCCTCACTCAGAGCTTGATCTCCCCACCCTAAGATCTTGACCTGAGCCGAAATCAAGAGTTGCACGCTCAACTGACTGAGCCACCCAGGTTCCCCTACTGTGTTTTGTTTTTAAAATTGGGACACAGGTATAAGTGTGTGTTCTATGTATGTTTTAATCTAAACTGCTAACTGCTACTTTTACTACTTTGTAAACTTCAATTTACTTTTCTTTGGCCTACTCTTCATGGTCTTTCATAATCCTGTTTTTGTCTACTTTGTTTCCAGACTTCTGCAGTTGCCCAGCAGAAACTTAGTCCTTTTAAACTGATTTAAGTTACAACTTAGATTTTATCACACCTCTCCATTTTTTGCTATATTCCTTGACTTGATTGCCTTCTTTTAGTTTCTGTGTTCAAAACTTACCTATAAGACCTAACTGAAATTCTGTTATGTAAAGATTTCCTTAGCCTTTCCAGCCTGACGTGGTTTCTACTTTGGCTATTTATTGTGTATAGGTTTCCTCTACTATTTGAAAGTAGAGCGTCCCTGTGAAACATACTGTAAGCCTAAATGACATAAAGCTAAGAAGCAACTGCTGTAAATTTATGTGGAAAAAATTTTGGTCATTCCCAGAACCATAAAATAACCTCTCAGGCTTTTCTGATAACTTAGGACACGTCACCTTGCTAAATTTAGATGAAGCATAGATGGTCATAGGCGCAGTTCAGAGCTGTGGTGGCTTGCTCCTGAGGTGCTTGCTGAGTATAGTCCCTGGGGAAGGAACTTGGTGGGGCCACCTCACTTCTCAGGGTGTGTTCCTCTATAAAGAAAGGCTTGCTGCAAAACAAATGAAACACAATTTTCACTTTTCTCATAAAAGAAATACTTTGGAAAAGTGGGGGATACTTGTTTGGTATAATTCTATTGTGACTTGACTTACAGATTATTTAACTTCTCATTGTAAATTCTTTTTTTTTTTTTAAGATATTATTTATTTATTCATGAGAGACACACAGAGAGAGGGGCAGAGACCTAGGCAGAGGGAGAAGCACGCTCCATGCAGGGAGCCCAATGTGGGACTTGATCCCGGGATTCCGAGATCACGCCCTGAACCGAAGGCAGACACTCAACCACTGAGCCACCCAGGTGTCCCTCGTTGTGAATTCTTTGGGGGAAATAGTTGTGTGTTAACTTTCTTATGTTCCTTAAGTGGTAAGCATTCTGTTCAGTTGTTATTTTATATCTTTGGACATTTAAAATGATGCATTTGCAGAATAGAATGAATTTTAAGATTGAAAATTTTTCCCAAGCCATAAATGTTATGGGTAAAGCTTTGGGATTTAATGTAGAAGACGGTTTAAACACTGTATGTAGCCAGACTTTCACATTTCATTAAAATCAAACTCTTTACAAATTGGACAGTTACTAAACTTTAAGTTTTTATATACTTTCTGATGTACAATTCTCTAAAAACTTTTTCAGTACATCAGGAGATTCTTCTCGGTCAAACCTTTTTGAAGATGCGACAAGTGCACTTGGTAAGTATCTACATTGTAAATAACGCAAGAAATAGGGAAGAGGTTCCAAATTTCATTTTCTAGATCATGAAAATGTGTTCATTCTCATGGTTGCATATAATCAAGCTGCTAAATGATTTGGATAATTGCTCAGTTAATGCCACTAAAGACTTTGTAAGTTAATATATTTATATATTGAATCCTTTAAATTGTAGTGTTACTAGGGGTTAAGCATATTCTTTTAGTCAAAGCAGATAATTTTCCATTTTCCAAATGTGAATTTTAACTGAGGTCTTAACAAAGTTTGAACTGTGGATAGGCTTATTACAAAATGTTTTTGAAATGGGTACAAAACGTTACTAAGTCTGTCTCTCATTTGATCTTTATTCATCTCCAGCCTTTATTCCAGTTTGAAGCCCTGTCGGGTCCCATCTGTATCTTGTTGCTTGTATTGTACTTGCAGTGAATGTACTTTTCTGTCCCCCAACTTTTACTGTCTCATATAATGCTTTTTCACACTTAACTTGCCAAAATCAGTCTTGTTTTTTCCCTATTTTCCCATTGTAACACCTCTAGTACATTTCCTACTGTGCTTGCTAATTGTTGATCTATTGGCAACCCCTTTCCTCTCCTTTGTAGTGTTCTACTTTACTAGAAATGGTAGGGAGGCAGAAGATAGGGAGCAGCAGCTTCAGTGATAAGGGCTTCTAGATTCTTTCCTGAGTTCCTGTAGCAGCAGGGTTCCAACAGCATTAGCACCTCATAAGATCTGGGGGTAGGCCTCTGACCTAATGGGACTTGAACTCCATGATCCTCTCATCGCAGTGAAAGTGGTACCTTGGTTGCCCATAGCATGTAGGGGCAAAATGATTGTAAGTAATTAACCTAAGGTCACCCAGATATACCATACCCACATTTACATCTTTACATTTACTGTTTTCTGAGACTGACTAGTCTGCTATCAAATGAGTATCGGTTAGTGTCCAGTCAACAAAATAGACATCACTTTCAAATAGGGAAAGGCTTAATCCTAGGAAGTTGGTAAAGAGATACTGGAAGTACTAGAAGAGATGACACAGAGATCAGTCAGGTTCTGTCTACCCACAGAACTGGAACCAACTGGCACTTGTCCCTGATGATGCTGAACTGTCTGGTGACACCGCTGCCACCTCAGTTGGAAAGCACGAGCTTTAGCTGCTGCTACTGTGCCTACACCTCTGAAGGCAGTGTCTTACCTTTACCTCTTCTGTCACCCTGTACAACGTAGGTTGTGGGATCCCTTTACTCTTTAATTCACCCAGTCTTTATGTTGATACCTGCTACTTTAAACTTCCCTTCTTTGGCTTACAACACTACTCTTTTCTTGATCCATGCCTTTTGACTATTCCTTTTCAGGCTTTCTAGTTCTTTTTATTTTACCTGACCTTTAAGCATATGGATCTTCTCTAGATCATAGTTCAAAGTTGAAATTATGGGAATGAAAAATACCACTCACTCTTACACTGTAAGGATTCCTAAAATTATAACTCCAGTCCACACCTCTCTCTGAACCTGCAGGCTTGTGCTTTAAATCGCCAACTGGGAAACCTACAACCTCCATAAATTCGTTAGGTTCTAAACTGAGTCCTGTTTTATTCCCTCATCTAATTATTCTCCTTTGTTCATCATTACTTGTATCATCATCTCTACCAAACATTTGGCATTGTCCTTGACCTCCCTGCCCCTCATGGCTGGTTGAGCCCAGGGTCTCAGGGTCTCATGACCCTCCTTCCTAATGTTACTGGAATATTTGTTTCCGCTGCCACTTCATTGCCTTAGTTCACATCCTTACTTCATTGATAACTCCTGCATGATTCTCTTGTAACTGGTCAGTGGCCCTGTCATAGTGGACTCTATATAAAGGCAGACCTATTGAGGTCATTGTTAATTCCTTTCACAGCTCCTTGTGACCTGGAAGATAAGCCCAAAACTCACTCTAATGATACACATAGGTTCTTCATTACCTCTCTGCTTTAGCTTCATTAGCACTCTCTTGTGTTGTCCATAGCCTCTAGGTTTCCTATGAGTAGTTTGCCCTTGTATTATTAAGATCTAAAAAGTATCAAACTGCTTATAGACATTTCCTTTTGAGTTTTATAACTTGATTAATTAGGAGGCATGATTTTAGCATGACTAGGTGTGGGGGCTCTGGACACTGACAGCCTCTGTTAGTCTCTACTATGACTTATCAGCTATTATATATACCATGCTCAAAATAAGCCTCATGGAGTTACTGTGAGAATGACATGAAAAACACTGTGTCAAAATAGTGTAGTTCAGATACTTCACAGTTCTTAATTTTGTTTATGTGGTTAATTTCTGTATCTGGGAACTAGATTACTAAAAAGGTATTGGCACTTAAGTGACTTCGTGCTAGAATTACATGAATGGGTAGTTAAGAAAATTAAAATAAGTTCTTTATGAAAAAAAAAAGTTCTTTATGAAAGGGGAAAGGAAAAGTCAATAGCCTAAAGATACAAATACCACATTTGGTCAGTGATATTTAGTTTTTTAAAATTATACTTTTTAGCTATTAAATGCCTTTATTGAAAATTCTGCAGAGGAAAAAAAAACATTCAGCTATAATGAATGTCGTCTGTGCCAGGGAGATGGTGATGAAAAATGTCAGGGTCCCTTGCACAGTTGAACTTTTTGTTCAGATGGAGGAAGGAAAAAGGGTGAAACCAAGTAAATTGCAGATCATGATTAATGATTTTAAGGAAATAATAGGTTTCATAAAGAAAAACAGAACATACTTAGGATGGTAAAGTAGTACATTTTAAATTAAGAACTGGAGCCTGCAAAGGAACTGACCCTCAGAGAATCTGTGTGTGTGTGTGTGTGTGTGTGTGTGTGTGTGTGTGCGCGCGCGCGCAAAGGTTCTGGGACATTTCTAGAAGGTATGACTTCTGAAGTGACCTGAAAAACATCACTGTGGTTGGAGTGTGCTGTATGGAGATTGTTGAGTGTTGAGAACTCTAAATGAGATGAGGTTTTCTTTTTAAAAGTTCACTCTTCCAGCCAGCTGAAGAATGGCTTATAGGCTCGGAGGCAGGAAAGGAAGCAGGGTGTAATCCAGACCAGAGATTGTTGTGGCCTGGTCTTGAGTGAAGGCAGTAGAGAAAGAGGGAACTGGGTAGTTTTGCACTATAATTCAGAGATAGGAGCTAGCACATATGCTGGTAGATGAGGTGTGGAAGGGAAGGGAAAGGGAACTTTCAGTCACCAGGGTTTCTCGTTCTTGTGCATAGGTGAATAGAGGTGCCATTTATGGAAATGGAGAAGGCACATAATGGTGGGGCACGTCTGAGGGGGAAATCTTTAGAGATTCAAAGTCATGTATCAGTATTGGTTGAGGAGTGGGTGGAATGTGAGACATGGACACAGCCTGTGCAGGTAGCTTTAGCTGCCTGGGAAGGGAGCAGACAAATGGACCAATTCCTAGAAGAAGAATTGGGACGTGGCCAAGGGATTATGCTTCTGTTTTTAAGATGACATTCTAGGATATAGTTAATTGCTGATGAGGATAATGAAGTGGAGGGTGAAGGGTGGGAGGTGGATAAAAGGGAGGATAACCAAAGGGTCCGGTTCTTAGAGGAGACAAGAAAGGGAATAGTACCCAGAAGAGAAGTGGAAGAAAAGATGGCTTAAGTGAGATAAGTTTAGTTTAGAGAGTTGGCTTTCTTTCAGACTGTTGTCTGTCGTCTGACATTTCCACAAAGAGCGAGTTTGGGTTGGAGGCAGCCTGTGGGAAGTGACTCCCTGGGATAACAGTGCTTGGGGCTTTGCACCAACTCTGTATGGTATGTGAAAGTCTGACTTTCCTCCTTCTAACCTCTGCTTTGATGATAAAAGGTGTCAAGGGAAAACTAAAGTTGTTAACAGTTAAATAGATTGCTTGAAATGTCCCTCCTACTTGTTTTCAAAAAGTAGTTAATCTGTCTCCTCTAGGTTGTCTTCTCTGATCTGCTAATTCTGTCCTGTATTTGTCATACATTTGTATCTGATATTTTTATTGTACTTATACGTTAGTTTTCTGTTGTTACTATGGTAAGTTACCACAGACTTCTTTGTCTGAAACAACACAGATTTAAGGCACAGTAGGTTAGAGGTCTAACATAGTACTCACTGTACTAAAATCAAGGAGCTAAATCACTGGGCTGCCATCAGGACTGCAGTCCTTTTTGTACACTCTGGAGGAAATTTCTTCTGGAGGCTACGCACATTCCTTATAGCCCCTTCCTCTATCGTCAAAGGCAACAGCATAGCATCTGTGACCTTGCATTTTTCCTTTTGTTCTTACATCTGCTTCTTGGACCCTCCCATTTGTTTTCCTTCTTCTTTTAAGGACCCTTGTGATTACATTGGGCCCACCCAGATAATCCAGGATAATTTCCCTCTCTTAAAGTCAGCTGATTAACAACCTTAATTCCACTTTGCCTTGTAACCTAACATATTTATAGGTTATTGGGGGTGGGGGGGTATTATTCTACCTACCGTATTATATATGTTGTAGTTTGTGCTGTTAATTGTCTTTGTGTCCCTTTGCCCTGTAGTGCCAGAAGCATTGTATATGCATACACACTCAAGAAATATGGAAGAAATGTATATTAAATGTTGCCTTTCTTTTCCTCACCACACACTTTTTTTTTTTTTTTTTTTTTTAGTGACAGGTCAGTCTTATGAGAATATGGTAACTGAGATCATGTCAATGGGATATGAACGAGAACAAGTGATTGCAGCCCTGAGAGCCAGTTTCAACAACCCTGACAGAGCAGTGGAGTATCTTTTAATGGTGAGAAATATTTCACTTTATTCTAGTTTAAGACCAAAATATCAAAGATTTTAAAAGAATAATAACAGTTAATGGGAGAATGAGAGTATGTGCTAGTAATTTACATAATGCTTTCATTTTTTTAGTATGTTAACATTTTGTGTTGGTAAAATGTAACCTAAAAGATTTTGATGTTAAATAAATAAATAAGTAAGTAAGTAATTTTGATGTGATTGTTTTAGATAGGAAAGGACATGGCTAAATGAGTTGTAAAATTGGCTGTCCACTCGGAGTACTACCTTCTGCCCCATTCATGTCATCCTCAAAGGATGACAGTTTGTGTGTTTGGAGGGTGGGGACAGAAAAATCTAATCTACCCTTTTAGTAGCTTTATGGATGGCCAGCATACTTCTGGATATACAGTTTCTTTTTTTAAAGACATTATTTTTATTTTATTTGACAGAGAGAGTGAGAGCACAAGCTGGGGGAGGGAGGAGGAGAAGCAGGCTTCCCTCTTGAATGGGGAGCCCGATGTGGGGCTCGATCCCAGGACCACAGGATCATGACCTGAACCAAAGGCCAGACACTTAACCCGCCTGAGCCACCCAGGCACCTCTCCTGGATGTGTACTATTGAGGACATTAATTAATTCAGTTGGCTGGTTTGTCTGAACAATTTGGATTCTGGATTTTTGCAAGGGTTTAGGAAAAGTTTTAGAAGAAAAAAAAAGGAAAAGTTTTAGATTATAGACTCTTTAATTCACTATCTTTCCATCCATTCCCTGTTACCTGACATAACATTGTGTATTTAATTCACTGTTAACTTGCCTAGTTCCATTGGCATTTGAATTGTTAGCTTATTTATGGTCAGTAGTAGTCAAGAGATTTTCACAAACATTGGTTTCTAATGCCTGGAGTGACATCTAATGCCAGCAACCATTACCCTGGATGTGATTCATTATGCTTAATTCTTTGTATGTTTATGATTCTGACTTCTGATTTATTGAGAAATGGAAGCATTTGCCATTATCATCCCTTACCTACATGTAATATTTCCTTTTCATTCTTCTTCCACAATCTATGCGGCTTTCATAAAGACTTATTTTAATATGTTGTATATGAAAAGTCTTGTAAATCATCCATCAAAATAGCGTTCCAAAAGTTTCAGTGCAGTTTTAAGTTAAAAATAACTTCAGAAAACAAATGCTATCAACTTAGAAAAAGCATCACCTAAATATTGAAATATTTAAGATTCTTTTTTTTTTTTGAAATATTTAAGGTTCTTATATGTACTTTTTAAGTTTTGAATAATCAACTTTAATTTTTTGCATGTGATACTTTTTGGATGACACTTTCTCAGAACCATGTATCTGTAGAGGAGATCTCCTCACTTGGCCACTGTTGCCACTGTCTCTGTCTCCATTAGACCTTTTTTCCCTAGAGATCATTTCAGAATTGCACATGCATCAAAACCTGTTTCTTTGGGTAATTTTTTTTTTTAAGATTTTATTTATTTATTCATGAAAGACACAGAGGAGAGAGAGAGGCAGAGACATAGACAGAGGGAGAAGCAGCCTCCATGAAGGGAGCCTGATGTAGGACTCAATCCCAGGACTCCAGGATCACGCCCTGGGCCGAAGGCAGGCGCTAAACTGCTAAGCCACCCAGGGAACCCCTCTGGGTAATTTTAAGGCTAGGGTTACAAATGCAAACTTTTCTATCACAGAGCTGCTGAAAGTTTCTATAAAGTTCAGAATTAACTAAAGTAATGTATAGCATAAAAAACAAACATGCCCAATTTTAGTAAGATTTGTATTGATATTGTAAAATTCTAATAGCCTTTTAAAAATGTACATTATTATTTGCCAAGTTTATGATCTTTGATGTTAGATGTAATGTGTTTGCTATATGTAATCATTTTTATGACTTATGTTTTAAACTACAAATCTCTTTATACCTTAGATCTACACTGCCTAGTAAAATAGCTGTTAAATACTATTAGTACAGGTAGCTGTTTGAATTTAATAAAATTAAAAGTATATTAAAAAATTAGGGCAGCCCGGGTGGCTCAGTGGTTTAGTGCGGCCTTCAGCCCAGGGTGTGATCCTGGAGACCCGGGATCAACTCCCACATCTGGCTCCCTGCATGGAGCCTGCTTCTCCCTCGGCCTCTCTCTCTGTGTCTCTCATGAATAAATGGATAAAATCTTTTAAAAAAAATTTTTTTAGCACAGAGAACATTCTTTCATCATGGAAACTTCTGGACAGTGCTGCCTTACATTATAGCAATATATATTCTTCTATACCATGCTCAGATCATTTCTAATCTCATTTGAATATATGCAGCTTTCAGATAAATCTTAATCCTTTTAATTGAAACAGACATCTGTTTGATGCTTTTGGAAATTAGACAAGCACGTTAAATAGGTCAATAAATCTTTTACTTTGTATTGTATTGAACTAACTTTGAATGACAAGCTATTTTAAAGCTGGGAAATTGTATTGTAGGGGATCCCTGGAGATAGAGAGAGTCAGGCTGTGGTGGACACCCCTCCCGCAGTCAGCACTGGGGCTCCTCCATCTTCGGTGGCAGCTGCTGCAGCAACTACAACAGCATCAACAACCACAGCGAGTCCTGGAGGTTAGTCTGGGCTGCTGGGAGTTGGAGGGGGCACGGTCCTGAGTTTCTAACATATGGTTAATCTGAGGTAAGGCTTGTCCCTGGAGCATCTGGAGGACTTTTCACACAAGGTCTCTATCCATTAATGTTAGAGAAGAGCCCAAAACGAATTCTCCCAAGTAGCTGTTACATATCTTCTTGCTGAGGCCTTAGCATTGTAATTTTGGCAAAGGGCATTTGTTTAGCCTATTTCAAGGAAGAAATGCTTTCCAGTTCACATTTTGTGTTACATTCTGAAGCCAGAATGTTTGCTCACCTTGTCTCTTCTCTCTCCCTATGAATGTCATAAAATATGTATAAGTTCAAAGCCAATAGGATCCTAGTGATTATTATACCACCAAAGAAATAAAACACTGAGAAGCTTGAAGACTTGTATCTAGAGGTAAAAGCCAAGCTTGAATTTACCTCCCTGTACTGGTCAGCACCTACCCTTCCATTGCTAAAGGTGTGACTACAGAGGAAGGCCTGGTAGGCCCAGGAATTAACTGCATTCTCCTTCAGTTTCCTTCTGTATGCCGTATTGATAAAGTAATTTAAACTGTTAATTTTGAAGAAGCCCTTCTTTGATGCTTTTCCTAGCTGTACTTAAGACAGTCAGCTCTGGTTGACAAAAAGCCCTGGCATTTTGTGTACAGTTTACCAGAGGACAGGCTTTTCATTGCTTCAGAGTTGGCATGAGAGTGAAAGACGAGGCCTCAGATTTGATTCAGATATGGGCTCCTATTCCATTTAGCTGTACTTAGTGTGTTAACTTAGTTTCTGAGTCTGAATTTCTTCATCTATAAAACTGGTGTCACAGAAAGGATACTTCTCATACTCCTATGGCCATTTTAATTTGAATGGTTTTCTTGAGTAATTTAAGAAATAACATCTAAAGAATTCTCATGAAAAAAAAAATAAAGAATTCTCATTAGAATTAGAAACCTCAAAAACGTAATTACATGCAATTTTTGACTTCCTAAGAATAATCAGACAACCACACTACCTCCAAAAAGTTGCAAGTTCTGTATCTTATTTGGCATCCTTAATATTTATTATTGTTATGGGACTTTGAACTAACAAGCTGTAAATATATTAGTACCAACTTGTATCTTATTTATCTCAAGCATTTATGTGTTATAAATATTTAGGTTTAATGATCATAACCAAAGTTGTTTTTCTAATTGTAGTTCAAGTTTGTGTTAACAAAACTTCTTATCTACGTATCTGAACATTTTAATTTTTAAGTATTATTTTTCACTTATTTGGTTTAGAATTTCCCGGGAATTCAAGCTCAGATTGTCTTGTTTGTTTTTTGTTTTCTTAAGGGTTTGGGTTGTTTATAAAATAAGCGGTTTTTTTTTTCATTTTGTTAGTCCTGGGTATATATTTATCTTAGGAACAATTTTAGTACTTTTTATTTGATAGAGTACATGCAGGTCATACATTCTCATTATTTGATAATATTGAGTACCCAGGACTATTGAGGAAAACGTCATTCTATACTCTCTGCCTATGCAAATAGTAATTTCTGTACTATAAGACTTGCCTGTTGGTACAATTGAAAAATTTTTGACATTATTTATTTTTATGTACATCTGAGAACAACTATTTTTTACTTGACAGCATTTGCTGTCTAAAATTCTGATTGAACCAGCCTTTTGTATGTGTAATGGCTGCTTTTGCTTAAAAATATTTATGTATTTTTAGGACATCCCCTTGAATTTTTACGGAATCAGCCTCAATTTCAACAGATGAGACAAATTATTCAACAGAATCCTTCCCTGCTCCCAGCATTGCTACAACAGATAGGTCGAGAAAATCCTCAATTACTGCAGGTAACTATTTAACTAGAGTTAATTTCAAAAGTGAATTTCTAAAGTATATCATATTTTTTTAAAGTCTATGAGTACTCCCTTTCCCCCCCCACAAGCTCCATAAACTTTTTCTGAGCTGCATTTAATAGAACATACTATAGGTTAGATGTACTTAAAAAAAAGAGAGAGTGTGTTGGGGGTGGAGGTTAGGTTAATTTAAATTGATCAGCTACTAACACTTTACATCCTTGGGGAAATACTTTATTAAAGAATCTGAGAAACTCTTTACCATAGAAACTGTTTGTAAAATCTTTTTTTCCCAAACTTATTATCAGTGCAGCACTGCCTCTTAAAGACATACCCATGGGCTTATTTAATGCTCAAGTCACAAAGTAAGTTTTATACAGCTTTGTACTGCCTACTAGTGTGGAAGATACAGAAGTTCTGTTTCTTTTTATAGGCCCCCAGTAATTTTTTTAACGTTAATTTGGGGAAATGGATGCATTTATGAGAGAGAATTTATTTTTTGTTTTTAAAATTTTGTTTATTTGAGAGCAAGAGAGCATGAAAAGAGAGAGGAGGGAGGGGGGGAAGCAGACCCTCTGCTGAGTAGGGAAGCCTGATGTGGGGCTCCATCCCAGGACCCTGGGATTATGACCTGAGCCAGAGGCAGCTGCTTAACCAACTGAACCACCCAGGCAACCCTGAAAGAGAATTTGAATTCTTTTAATTCTTCGCTGTTTACCTCACTCAGAAGTACCAAGTTTCGTTAATATTATAAGAGAGATCACATTCTTCCAAAGACTAATGCAGAATCATTCTAAAAATAAGGCAGTTGCAAAGTTCTAGCTTTCTCTCATATTTGAATTCTTAGTTTCCTGAAGATACTTTGTCATTGCATTGGTTTTTTGTTTTTTCTGTTCTTCAAATTACCACAGCAAATTAGCCAGCACCAGGAGCATTTTATTCAGATGTTAAATGAACCAGTTCAAGAAGCTGGTGGTCAAGGAGGAGGGGGTGGAGGTGGCAGTGGAGGAATTGCAGAAGCCGGAAGTGGTCATATGAACTACATTCAAGTAACACCTCAGGAAAAAGAAGCTATAGAAAGGGTGAGTAGAAGTAAAGCTGAAAATTCAGTTCTTCAGTCACACTAGCCACATTTTAGATGCTCATTAGTCACATGGGGCTAGTGGCTGCTGCCTTGGGAGCACAGATACAGAATATCTCTGCCATTGGTGATATTATATTGGACAGAGCCAAATATAGCATTGTTCTAAGGATTAACAGTAGGTAAAGACCGTGTATTTTTCATCCCTGCTCTCACATCTTGGTCTTTGTGAAGCCAAGGGACTAGCAATGAATGCCAATCTAGCTTTATAAAATAGTTATAAATATTTTTAAAAATTAAAAATTTCATCTAGGTCTTAAAATTTATGAAGAAAATTATATTAAAGTGAATGCCTAACTCAAGATTATTCACTTTTTTAAATTTTACTTTACTGCTGTCACTAGAGTGTAAAATAGATATGTATGTGAATTATATATAAAAAATATGTACGTTAAACATCAGAACCTGATACCACGATTCTGTTTTCATCCTTACTAGGTTAACCAGTTCACATGAGGCACTGCAGTAACTTAGTTTGTATGATACAAAGACAAGTCGTTCATTTTTCTCTGGCCTTTATTGTTAATATTTGTAAATAGGGAATCAGTTACTGCCCTGTCTTATCTTACTTAGCAAGTGTATTGAGATGGAAGTCTTATAAAGAGCATTTTAATACTTAGAAAATCATTTGAAAGATATTTTGTCCATATATATGATAAAACATTTCAAGTGTTCAAGGTTTATAATTACATGTTTCTTCAAAGATACTTTATATATCATGCTAATATTTCCCCCCTCAAGTAACTGAAGTGAGTGAATGATACTTGCCTCAATTGTTCTATAGCATTTTTAAATTTTTTATTATTACTTTCTTTTAATGGTTAGGGGTATCAGTTTTTGATTTCTGTTTTGGAGATTTTTTTCTTTGTTGCTTGTGCCTTTGGTGTCATACTAAGAGAAGTTGCCTAATGGGAGGTCAGAACAGAAGACTGACACCTGTTTTTTCTCTGAAGACTTACATAGCTCTTGTATTTAAGTCTATGTGATCTTTTGTGAATTTTTGTTCGTAGTGTGAGGTGTAGAAGTTTAGCTTCTTGTTTTTTGTATGTGGATATCCACCACCGTTTACTAAAAATTCTGCTCTTTCTCCATTAAATTGTCCTGCATCCTTGTTGAAAATCAAATAGCCATAATTGTGAGGGTTCACTGGGCTTTCAGTTCTGTTCCAGTGATCTATATGCTTATCTTATGCCAATACCTCACAGTCTTGATTACTGTGGCTTTTTTGTGGTAAGTTTTGAAATCTCCAGTTTTCTTTTCTCAAGATTGTTTTGGCTGTTCTGGATCCTTTGCATTTCTCTATCAATTTTAAGATCCACTTGTCTGATTTCTAGAAGAAATGCGAAACCAAAAACTGATTGGGATTTTAATACTCTGTATTTTTTCTGCAGATCAGTTTGGAGAGTAGTGCCATGTTAGCAACATTCTCACCAAGCCATAAACAAGAGTTGCCTTTCCATTTATTAGATTTTCTGTAATTTCAGACATGTTCTATAGTCTTTGGTTTGTACTTCTATTGTTAAATTTATTCCTCAGCATTTTCATTTCTTTTTGATGCTGCTATAAATGGAAATGTTTTTCTTAATTTTAGTTTTGGATTGTTCATTGTTTAGCTGTATAGAAATACAACTTCTATCTTAAAACCTTCCTGAACTCCTTTATTAATTCTGATAATTTGTTTAAGATTTCCTATTTGTAGAATATCATTTGCAATTAGTTTTAATTTATTTCTTTTCCAATACGGATGCCCTTCCTTTCTTTCTCTCTTCTTTTCTTTTCTATTCCATTTTTCCCTTCTTTCTTTTCTTTTCTTTTCTTTTCTTTTCTTTTCTTTCCTTACTTTCTCTTTTTCTTTCTTTCGTGCCTAATTGTCTTGCCTACAGCTTTCTGTATACATGTATTGTTGAGTAGAAATGATGAGAGTCAACATCTTTTGTCTTGTCCCCAATCTTGAGAGACCTTTCATCCTTAAGTATGATGTTAACTGTGAGTTTTACTAGATTCCCTTTATCAGGCTGAGGGAGTTCCTTTCTGTTCTAGTTTATTGAGTGTTTTTATCACAAAAGGGTATTAGATTTTGTCAGACGCTTTTTATGTGTTGAGATGATAGTATGGTTTTGTTCTCTTTTTTGTTAACACTTTATTACATTGATTTTTGTATGTTGGACCAGTCTTGCATTCCTAGGATAAATCCCACTTGATTATGGTGGATAGTCCTTTTTATATATTGCTGGATTTGGTTTGCCAGTGTTTTGTTGAAGATTTCTGCAGCTGTATTCATAAGGAATATTGGTTTGTGGCTTTTTGTGTGTTTGATGATTTTGTCTGGTTGGGTATCAGTAATACTGGCCTCATTGAAGAATGAGGAAGTATTCCCCCTTTCCTGTTGGTTGGAAGAGTTTATAAAGAATAGTTTTAATTTATTCAACAGTCGGTAGAATTCACCAATGAAATTATCTGGGCCTGGATTTTCTTTTTGGGAAATTTTGTAATTACTAATTCAATCTCTCCATTTGTTATGAAGGGCTATTCAGATTTTCTGTTTCTTGAGTCAGTTTTGGTGGTTTTGTCTTCTAGGAATTTGTGTATTTCATCGCATTATCTAATTTGTTAGCATACAACTGTTCACAGTATTTTCCTAAAATAGTTATTTCTATAAAAAGTAGTTAGTGTTTCCACGTTTCTGATGTTAGTAATTTGAATCCTCGGATTTCTTTTTTTTTTTCCCCCTGTTCAGCTAAAATGTTTGTCAGTGTTGTTACTCTGAAGAAAAAAAACAACCTCTGGTTTTATTGATTCTATTTTTCTAGTCTCTGTTTTACATATTTTCTCTCTAATATTTATTCTTTTTCTCCTGCTTGCTTTGGATTTCATTTTCTCTTTTTTCTAGTTTCATAAAATAGAACCTTAGATTATCTATTTAAGATCTGTCTTACTATAGATAATTATAGCTGTAAACTTCCCTCGAGGCACTGCTACAGCAGCATCCTTTAAGTTTTAGTGCGTGGGATGTTTTCATTCATCTCAAATGTTTTCTAATTTCCTTTGTGATTGCTTCCTTCATCCATTGGTTAAGGATTATGTTAATTTCCACAGATTTTGAATTTCCCAAATTTTCTTCTGTTACTGATTTCAGAGTTCATTTTACTGTGGTCAGAAAATGTATTTTGCACAATTTTAATCCTCTTAAATGTATCGAGACTAGTTCTGTCACCTAACATGTCTTTATGGAGAATATTTGATACATACTTGAAAAGGATGAGTGATCTGTTGTCAAGTATCCCATAAATGTCTATTAGGTCTAGTTGATTTGTAATGTTCAAATCTATTTCCTTGTCAGCCTCCTGCCTGATTGTTGTGTCCAGCATTGAATGTGGGGATATCAAAGTCTCCAACTACTGTTAAATCACCATTTATTTCTCCCTTCAATTCTGTCAGTTTTTGTTTCATGTATTTTGGGGTTCTGTTGTTACATTTCTTTATAACAAAGTCTTCCTGGTGGTTTATCATCAGAGTATGTCCTTGTTTTTAGTAACAGTTTTTAATCACAATGTGTATTGTCTGATATTAATATAGCCACTCCAAGCTTCCTTTTTGTAATTGTTTGTGTGGTATATATATCTTTTTTCATCCTTTTACTTTCAGCATATTTGTGTCTTTGAATCTAAAGTGTGTATCTTGTAGAAGCATGTAGTTGGATCGTGCCCTATCTACCTTTTACTTCAGCTTAGCCCAGCTTTAATCTGGACCAGACCTAGGTAACAAAATCATTTTTGAGCTTTTCTTTTCCTTTCATGGATGAATATTAATCATGCTGAATTGAGACTTTTTTTTAAGGTCATTTCTTGACACAGTCTAATACAAGGTGATTTAGACAGTTGAACAGAGGGTTCATAAATACTTGGCTGACAAATATATAGTACCTAACGAATTAGATAGCTGAGTACTTAAAGACTTTCAAAATAAGCAGTCATTTTTGAATCAAAGTGTTTTTTTTTTAATAGACTAGGAAAACCACTAAGCTGGTATCACCATTTAAAATTCTATAAAAATTAAGCAGATATAGAGTACCCTAATCTTAATCTCAAAATACATCATGTAATATTATTAATAATTGACCACCCATTTTTCTAGGTGAGGAGATGGAGACTGATAGTTGAGCCTACTGACATTCTTTACAAATAATTGGATGAAGTAGTTAAACAATCCTCTTTCATTGCTCTTATCTGTATCTTTCCCCCTTACATACTAAAAGCTGTTTGATTTACACATTTCTATAGGGTCATTTATTTTTAAACCACTGAAGTCAGCAACTAATTTTTATTGTAACACTGAGTGTTAGCAGAGTATCTGTTTGTCTAATGGCTTTAACTAGCAGCAGAATTTTGTTGGTCATTGCTAAAGGAAAGGCAATAGGTCCCATCTAGTTGCTTGGGGTTGGACAGTGAATCCACACTGAGATAAGCATGTGTTCCATGTGTTGTTTTCAAAAGCTTTTTCATGTCTTCATGTTTTCAAATGCTGATCTGCCTATACTGGTTCTGCTGGAACCCATTTGTGTTTTCTCTCTTTTCTTCCAGTTAAAGGCACTAGGATTTCCTGAAGGACTTGTGATACAAGCGTATTTTGCTTGTGAGAAGAATGAGAACTTGGCTGCCAATTTTCTTCTACAGCAAAACTTTGATGAAGATTGAAAGGGACTTTTTTTTTTAATCTCACACTTCACACCAGTGCATTACACTAACTTTGTTCACTGGATTGTCTGGGATGACTTGGGCTCATATCCACAATACTTGGTATAAGGTAGTAGATTGTTGGGGGTGGGGAGGGAGGGATCTAGGATATAGGGCAGGGATAAATTCAGTGCATGTCTGCTTCAATTAGCAGATGCCGCAAATCCACACAGTGTGTAAAATATTATACAACCAAAAATCAGCTTTTGCAGGTCTTTATTTCTTCTATAAAACAGTAGGTAACTTTTCCTAGGTTTCACTCTTTTTAGTGTACTAGATCCAGAAATTTAGTGTAATGCCCTGCTTTATATTTCTTTGACTTAACATTGGTTTCAGAAAGAATCTTTGCTACCTAGAATTTACAGTCTCTATTTCATGGCAACACTGGATAATGGCTTTGTGAAATTGAAAAAATTTTGGAGCAACTGTAAACAGAAATGCCAAATTACTGATGGTTATTGTTGCTGCTTCAAATACGTATTGAATTAATGTGTAAGAAAGCCCATTCTTTCATGTTAAATACTTGGGGGGGGGAGGGGATCCTTTTCTTAAAATGAAAATAATTACTGCTATTTTAAAATTTCTTGATCATCGAATGTGAGACCCTTCTAACATGATTTAAGAAGCTGTACAAGTATAGGCAGAGTTATTTTCCTGTTTACATTTTTTTTTTTTTGGTTTGTTTTGGGAAAAAATTGGTAGGTGTCTAATTACTGTTTACTTCATTGTTATATTGCAGTAAAAGTTTTAAAACCACCATTGCATGTTTGCTTTTGATGTATCCCTTTGTGAAATTAGCACTTTGGGGCCAATGGAGAAATGCAGCATTCACTATCCCTCTCTTCCCCTTCCCTCTGCAGAAATGTGTTTGTCAATAAGTCGTGAGTTCAAATTGCTGCCTTTTTTTTAAACCCACAAAAATGCTGATTCAGTTCAAAATTAATGCAAATGTTTCAAAACTGGGTTTCTGATATTTGTAAGTGTTTTTCCTTATTAGATAAGAATGTATGACCATTAAAGTCATTAGGATTATATTACTTTCAAAAAGAGAAGGTGGACAAAAGTATAATCCAGCATCTTTTATTGCATTGGAAAGACTGGTGGAATCTTCTGGAAAGGTTGGGAGATGCAGCTGGAAAAGTACTTTGGAAAATATACAATCAAGAATATCTCATGGCATATTAAAAGAAAAATCTTAATAGCAGTGTTGGCTTTTATTTGAATTTTTTTCAACTGTTTTTATTAGAATCTTCATTGGCATTATTATTTGATGATAAAGAGGGGGAATATGTCTACTTGTTGAGTTTTTCAAACCTTTTTCCTGAATATAAATAAGACTGTTTAAAGGAATAGTTTTTTCCCCTACCATCTGATACCGAGTAAAGAAAATGAATTTGCACAGATTTCTCCCTGCGTAATCTCTTGGCAATAATCCTTAGCAAAGTTTGGGGATGACTTTTAAGCTTTTACGTCATGCATTCGTACCCGTCTCTAATGAAAATAAATGAGACCATGATTTCTCCCCACAGTGTTATCATGAGTTTAATATTCATGTGTGTATTCCTTAAACACGGCAGACCTTTGGACTTTGTATTGCCTGTATGTTTTATAATGGATCATGCAAAATGTCTCAGGAGAATAAAATAAGGATTTGTAAATATGTTCATCTTTCAAGGCAAAGCAAATGAGTTGGGAAGAGGGCATTTCTGGTCGAATAATGGAATATTTTCATTTATTTTATGTCATTCTCTCTGCTGCCTAATTGTTCAGCATAGCGAAAACTGGAAAAAAGCAAAAAGCGAAGAAAAAAAAATAACCACACACACACACACAAACCCCAGGAGCAGCCTCTTCTCTGGAAAGTGACAGCAGAAGTTGGTGGCATGGAGTTTTTGTCCTTGGACAATAAAACCACAAATAGTGGGATTAATCATTATTATAAGAAGACAGTTGAGGCCAAGTTTTGACCATTCTTTACTTTGTTTAATCTGCTGAAAGAATTAGCCAAGATGCTATGAAAGACACAGGCTTTTTGTGACCTTTGCTGTTGTCTTTTAATTTACAAACAGTTTTGGTAAATCTCTTAATGTAAGTGGCTCTTTGACTTTGGAATTTTGCGTTTGAGGTATTCTGTTTCTTGAAATATTTTTATTGTTCAGTTGCTCTGGAAAATGTGAGGAAGCTTAAGTTTATATTAAATTCTTACTGCCATCCTTTAGTCAAATATGTCTTCACATTGTTTAAAAATATTATTTTCCAGCATATAATTTTTTCCTGTACTACATGGCTAGGAGTCTAGAGAATTAATTATAAAATATTTTCAATACATCCACCATTGCACTTCTCATTTTTTAAAATGATCCCTTTGCCATATAGAATCTTAGATTGGGAGCTGACAGTGCCTGTGTCACCCATAGTTCTGTTTTCTTCAGTGATGGGCATGTTAGGGGGCCAGGTGCTGGGTCAGTTTTATTGGGTCTCCTGTGTCCTCAATCAGAACATCAACACAGAGATGGAATACTTGCTGGACCGTAGATCAGTGTTCATGAGGGCTTTTTGAAATTTTAAATTCCCTTTTTTCTCATGCTCTTGTCGTACAGCAACCAGCCTAATAAAACTACAAAATATTCGACCAAAATTAAGCAATTTCATGGTGTAAATCCTTCCTGACCAAGTCAGTTCTGGTGAGCTCCCTAGCCATGAGGCTTGGGTACAACCTGTCATGTTAGTTGACCTCCCATATCCATTTAGAAGATCAAAGCCAGGGACTGGCTAACTTCAGTCCCATGAGCTAGGAATGGTCTTTACGTTGTTTTCAAAAAAGGGTTTTATGATGTTGAAGATGATTATTCAAATTTTAGTGTTACAGTTTTATTGAAACAACCATGCTCGTTTGTTTATATATTGCCTGTAGCTACTTTTGTGCCACAGAGGTTCACTGTTAAATAGTTGGAGATGAGACGGGCCTACAAAGCCCAAATAATTACTGTCTGGCCCTTTACAGAAAAAAACACCGCTGTTTAGACTGTGACTCGCCCATCATATATTATCACAAGCTCTTTCCAGAGTAATGGTATTAAGCATATGTGCCGTATGTGCTAGCCTAACGTATGTGGTGTCTTAGGTACCACTTTGACATTATTATTTGCTGTTGCTGCGCCATTCCTTGCTCTTAACAGTTGGATAATGAAATTCAGCAGTAAGCACACTTCAGAACACCTGGCATAGTGATGAATTAGCCAGAACAAAGTCAGATGAATGCATCTGGGAACCTTTGGGCTCTAGAATCAGAGTTGAGACAATTGGAAGAAGCATCATAACCACAGCTGGAAGAAGAGAGTGGGGGGAACCCCAGAGGGGGAGTATAGCTGTTGGACCTGTTTGGGTGGCGGACTAGTTTCCAGAACAGTGTGGGTAGTTCGGGAATGGGAGGATGGGAGGGGCAGTGACAAGACAGGGAGAGAAGGCCTGAACTTGCTAGGAAAAGGATCAAGCACCGCAGCAGTGGTGGTGACAAGTTGGCTATAAAAGGCCGCCTCTCGGGGTGGGTCGGGAGAGCAGTGGTCCCTCAGGGTCTCCGTGGAGAGGAGGCTGGGACCCCCGAAGAAACCTCAGTGGTGACAGATGGGCTTCGTGTGCGTGGTGCTGCCAATTCCACAATGATTGAAGACGAGGTCCCTGCCACTGAGTTGGAGATTCTGACAGAACATTTTGAGTAGTACTGGATTCTTCGCCCACTTGTCTTACAGGAGCACAGATTAGAAAAATAGCCATCGCAGACTTCTGGTTCCTGTGTCACTTCATTTTCCAATTTTCTTGACCTAGCACCTCATCCTTTCCCAGCTGGTTTGGTGGGAGTTACTCATGTTGAGAGCGCATAATCCTCCTCAGGCAGTGAGGAAGCTCCTCCGAACCCTGGAACCCTGGCCGTCCAGCAGGCAGCCTCGTGTCCCACCCCCACCCCCGCCCCCACCCCCGTGTTTTGGGACAGCCTTTCACACTGACTGAAGGTTGGGAGGCTCCTGCTGGCTCTCCAGACGCGCCTACCGCATGGAAGCCAGTGGCTCGCGGGCCTGGTGACTGCCTGTGGAACTGACGGCTTCCATCTCTTTGACTAAGTCCAGAGTCGTCTCAAAACTGATGATTCGGCAGTAAGAGCAGCCAGTCTGGGTTTTAATTTGCAACAGCAAGTTAGAAAAATACTTGGAACATTACTCAAAAGTGGCTACAAACTGGATGAGAATGGTTGGGGCTGGTGGCGGTGGCCTGGGAACAGCTGAGGTGAAGATATTTTTGGACAATGTTAGGAACCTTGGAGTGATTTTTGCAACTTTTAGGTTTTTTGGTGGTGGTGGCAGGGGGGCAGGGTTCAAATTTCTTTTTGGTCAATTAGGCCTCCCTGTGTTGGTTTGATAATAGCTTCACTAATTTTTACTTTGTGTCCAGTTCTAAGGAAATTAAAGTACAATATTTTCACTAATTATTTTCATATCTTTAGTGTTAAAATGTTTAGACTATGTTTGCATTTTTGCAAAAACCATTAATAACTTTTCACCCCTAAACAACTTCTCACAGAAAAGTCCCGGGGGTAATACAAAGTGCTCCCATGGACACCCCCGCTCCCGGACCCATTTCAGTGTCCGTAAGTGTCTTCATAGCAAAGGGGACCTGATCCACGTTTATATCTTCCTTGGCTCACACTTGGTCATCATGACCATAACATTTTAACACCACGGGACCGTTGTCTTCTAGAATGGCCCTCGGTTTAATGTATGTGTGGTTGTTTCCTCATGACTAGACTCCAGTTAATGTGATTTTGGAAGAACTACAGAAGTGCTACTGTGCTTTTTTTCGCTGCATCTCATGAGGGGGCACAGGGTGTCGGCTCACCCCACTTCTGGTTCCTTCTGTTCAAGGAAGGTGGTGTCTGCCCAGCTTCTCCACTGAACAGTTACTCGATCTCCCTTTGTATTTAGTAAGTGTTTTGCGATAAGGAATTCTGAGACAGAATATCCTATTTCTCTTGAAAATTTGTTCCGTGAATTTTAGTATCCATTGATGCTTCTTGCCTGATGGACTACTAAGATGGTTGCCAAGTGATTTTCAGATTGCATGATTTCTACATTTATTAGTTAGCAAGACTGTCTTCTGGCATTCGCTTTCCCCACTCATAATCTGCATCGCTACGGGCTCAAATTGCAGTTTTATTCAGTGGTAATATCCATTACTATTGCGGTTTTGATGTGCTCATTGTCCCAGGTTTTGCCATTGTTTTGTGCATTCTGAAGGCCATTTTCTGTTTGGCATTTTCTTCCCACTTTTTTGAGTACTTCCTCACTTTGTGGTGTAGTACCGTGTCCCAGACTCTTGTACTTCTATGTGCCAGACCTGGACTTAGCCATTTCTTCAAGGAGCTCTGGTTCCCTTCCATGAACATTGTATTTAGAAACCAAAACTTGGGGGACCCCTGGGTGACTCAGTGGTTGAGTGTCTGCCTTTGGCTCAGGTCATGATCCCGGGGTCCTGGGATCGAGTCTCACATTGGGCTCCCCCCAGGGAGCCTGCTTCTCCCTCTGCCTATGTCTCTGCCTCTCTCTCTCTCTCTCTCTCTCTCTCTCCATCTCTGTCTCTCATGAATAAATAAATCTTTTTAAAAAAGAAAGAAACCAAAACTTGGTGCTAGGTGTGCTCCTTGCTATTGCTCACTGTTCCCGAGTCATCTGGGCAGCCACATAGAAAGTACCCGTGTGCACACAGTTACATCTGTATTTCTGTATCTGTATATAAAGGCCGATGAGTTCACACTGGTACTTTTCACTCGGTGCAACACTAGGTGCAGTCCCGCTTCTCACTTTCCACGTTCTCCTTTCTAGGACAGTGAGAAACTTGGCTCATTGTGCTCAGCGTTGACTTGTCACCTCCCGTGCGTGTAACTCATCTCCTAAGCTCTCAAAGTACCTTTCTTGTGTGAGTGCCAAGCGCTTAGCCTGTGCAGTCACGTCTCTGCACAGCTGGAACATTAATATTTTAAGTGTTATTTTTCACCAGCCTTAAACAGAGGCGATAGTGTGTTTAGACAAGTTCTTCTGAATTCAGTGCTCCACTAATAGCACCTCTAGACGCTGGAGAAAAAAGCCCTATTTTTTTCCCATTGTTGGGCCACCAGACCAGTGTCCAGGTGCCCCGCCATCTCTTAGCCCAGGGGTCTAAATGCTGGGTGAGTTTTCCCAGGTTCTTGTACTTGGGACCAGTGTGGTTTAGGTGCTAGTAGCGCTGAGGGAGCCTGCAGGAGGGGCCGGCTGCTGGAGAGGAGGGCGGCCCACACGCGGGCTCCTCGTGGCCTCCGGGCCCCCGCCCCCGAGGACTGCGCTGTCGTGACTCTGACTTGGCCCGTGGCTGCTTC